CTGTCAGATTTAGTGTGGATGATATGTGAGTAGATTTCAAAGGAACGGATCTTAAACTTGTAAAACCTTTTCGTTGTATTTTAACTTAATTGAGTCATGAATAACCTTTCTAGCTAAAGCGTTTTTGTCGAGTTCATACCAACTCTTGTCAAAAATAATATAATTCAGCCCCGAAATTATTTTTTTCTATAAATAGCCTATATAATCTTATACAGGGATAGATTGACGTTCTTGACAATGCAGGCCTCGACGTATAAACACACATGCATATACTCATGCAGTACCACACGCACACGCACACGCACACGCACACACACACAATGTGTACGCGTGCGTGCGTGCATGTATAGAGGGGTGTATAAGGGGTAGTGGTGGTCCGATTAATTGAAATAGTCGAAGATTGGTCGTAGTGACTAAACGACCAAGCAATCGATCATAATTTCTCATAATCGAACACAACCAATTTTGGAACACTTGTTTTCATTGACAATATTTTTCACATGGTTGGATTTGTCTGTTACATTTTGTAAGCACTACAAGTTCTTTTAAAGTCATGATTGAATTTATCTTAAAGGCTCCAAGAAATTTATGTTCCTAACATACTAGTCATCCTTTAAAGATGTGAAATTTTGCCAAAAAGCCCCAAAAGAACTACATGATTTTTTCCTTATTTTTATGTGCATTAACAATTTTCATAAATGACGCTAACCAATTATTTTCGATGATTGATCGGTTGTAATGAACCAATCATCAATGATGAGATTTTAACCAATTCCCAACACTAATAAGGGGTACTTATACCCTTACACATTACTTAACACATACAATCTTCTTCTCTCAGATCTTTTTCTTTAACTTCATCATCATCATTATAATCATTTCCTATATTACCTGCGTTAAATGTTTTGGGTTGTTTTTTGTAGCCTGATCGTTTTAACAATTCATCTTTTTCATGATTATCTTTATTACCTGCGTAAAATATTTTTGGGCTGTTGTTTTGGGGTTTTTTTTTGTTTTGTTGTTGTTGTTTGTTGGGGTGTTTTGTTTTGTTTTGTTGTTTGTTTTGGGGGGTTGTTTTTGGTTTGGTTTGGTTTTGGGGGGCTTTGGGGTTAAGGGGTTTTTGGGGTGTCCTTTTTTCGTACTCATCGTTCTATTAATTCATTTTTAAGGGCCATTACCTTACCAAGCATGTTATCATGTTCTCATTAGGTGAGTGAATTTGGTTTAGCACGGCGGTTTGAACGCTGTTGGCATACAGGACGTGTCATCTGGACATGGTCGGACATATGGAAGTGATGTATATCTTGTTCATGTAAAACGTACGAGCACACACAAGTCAGTATTCATATTTAGGGTGAATCTGGCATGCCAACCGACGACAGCTATCAGCAGATCCTGACATGACTACGGCAGGTAACTCTGCATAGCCAATTGGACGGCTGGGCTATTCGTGTCCCCGGTACGTTTATAAAACATAGCACTTTCAAAGGTTGTAATGTTTAATTGCGACTAGTTACAATTAACGATATCTACAAACTTGTATGTCAGAATTTTTATATATTGTATTTGTGCCAAATATGGGATAATTTACTACTTCACTGAAACAGCACGTTCGCGACATTTGGAAGGGTATGCCGAGTTTATACCGTCGGCAACTGACAATGCCCAAGAAACGGCCCTCCCGTAGAGAGAAATTCACCCACAGCAAACAAGCATAATGATTGCTGGTCCATTGTCTGAAGAGAAACACACTCGTCTCAAAGCTGTATTGATTACTACAATAGACACACTCGCCAGATTGTCAGTTAAGCCAATACCGCGGACGATATGCCAAATACATAGGGGCTATATACAATATCGCCTGGTGATATACTGCTGAACATTCAGCACTCTCTGTCCCAATAACAATGCAGTCTATCAAACCTACCAGCTCGATCTCGTCTCTAAAGGAACACCTGCAGGCGACTTCTCTCGCCTGCCGCAATGTTGCAATACAGTCGGCGACTACACAATGCATGGCGGCCAATTGACATAAACACGAGTTATTTTTTCTTGAATTTCGTTTACGACCTATGCACCATATTGCATATGTGAGCATTTAACACACATGGAGATTATTAACAGAGTATGTTCTCTATCGTAGATGTATACTCAGGGCACAGATATTTATTCCTAATATATACACTGAGTCAAAAAACGAAACTTCACATTCTTTCTTCAGGGCACTATAAAAGAACAAGAGATGGTAAGATGGTTAAATTGTTATTATTTCATTGCTGAGATCTGTGTGATGTACTCGATACACTGACAGTGCCATAATCAGTTCAATTAGGCTACACCGCCGTTCCAAAACATGGGTATACAGAATGTCAAGTCACAAGAATAAAAATGCAAAATTTCTCAGTTCAATATCGTGTATGGCCGCCCCGCGCATTCACCACTGCCATACACCGTCTCCTCATCGACTGCCTGATGCTTGTGAACACGTGGTTGGGGATTCTGCGCCATTGCTCTTGCAAGGCAGCGCCAAGTTCCTGCAAATTCTGAGGTTGGTTCCTAAGACCACGAAGCCTTCTCCCAAGTGCATCCCAAACGTGCTCTATTGGATTAAGGTTAGGGGACCTCGATGGCCAGTCCATGACGTTGATTCCAGCGTTTTGAAGGAAATTTCGTGTCAACATCGCGGTATGCGGCCGAGCATTATCATGCTGGAACTGTAGACCTGGGCCATGAGCCGCCATGAAAGGAACGAGTTCAGCGGTGAGCACCTGGTCGCGGTAAGCAGCAGCTGTGAGGTTTCCACGGATGACCAGAAGTCGGGAACGGTTGTTCCCACAGAAAGCACCCCACACCATGCAACTTCCGCCCCCGAATCTGTCGACTTCCTTTACACAACATTGGGCATACCGTTCACGACGTCGTCTCCAGACTCTATGCCTGCCGTCCGCGAATCTGAGGGTAAACCTGGATTCATCGCTAAAGACGACTCGATTCCAGTCTCTCTGGGTCCATCGGAGGTGACGTTGGGCCCACAGCAGACGTTTACGTTGATGAAACGGCGTCAATATTGGCCCACGATATGGACGTCGAGAATAGAGATTGGCAGCCCGCAACCGATTTCGAATGGTCTGTGAGGACAGTCGACCTCTAAACATCTCAGCCCTGGTTCGTGTAGCCGGCAGAAATCTGTAACGTAGGTGACGTAGGACGATTTGACGGTCTTCTGCTCGTGACGTCACACGTGGACGACCCGACCTTGGGCGATCAGAAGTGGTGCCAGTTTGTTGTAGACGACCTCGCAAGTCATACACAGTACGACGGCTGCATCCCATTGCTCTTGCGACGTCAATAACTGATCTTCCCGCTTGCAACATGCCAACGGCACGTTCACGTTGCACATTTGACAATCGTGGCATTTCAAGTACCGTTAGAACTGTGGTTTAAAAGTGTTTTTTCAATTCTTGAGGCCAATGCAAACACGTGCATATGAAGAAAACTTCGATGCGAAGATCACGTGATCGACTGCACGTGCAAAACCTGATTTGGCACTAACATCATTTGCACGACGAATGGATGGGTTTGAGTGGGTTTTGCTAACGTTTTTCTAGAGTCGAAAGATAGGGATCCCATTTCGGATACATAAATGTATCGTCAGAGAAAAATTATTCATTATTTTTCAAATTACATTTTGTGATGTTTCTTTTTTGACTCAGTATATTTACTTACGGGAGTGAATGAGTCGGGTTTTACGCCGCTTTCAGCAACAGTGCAGTAATATCACAGATGGAACCCCACACATTGTACCCATGTGGGGAATCGAACCTTCAAAGGCGTGACCAGCGAACGTTTCAACCACAAGGCCCAGTTTAACCCCACCGCCCCCTACTTACGAGAGCACACTAGAGTAATATTCCCTTCATTGTATCAGATCATTCTTGAAATATTCGAAGTATAAAAGTATTTTCATGCTGTGAAATAACTTAATAATTTGTGTATAAAGAATGCGCCAGGTTTTCTAAACCTCACCATTATTGATATATAGTAAAATAAGCTTCACTCATGTATGTATTCGTAATATTCTGTATTTTTGCCGCACTCACAGTTCCAGCAATAGGACGATGGTCTGTGAACAATGATCTACGCATCGATCTACGAGGGTGGTTACCTTATCAACGAGGGTACGATAACCTTATCAACCAGGGTGGCTAACCTGACCACCCAATACCCTTAGTCGCCTCTTACAAGGATAAGTTGCTGAAGACAAGGATCTTCAAATCTAGCTATGCCTATGGTGATACCAACACTCCGTACACAGTTTCTAATTATCTTACCTGAAACTTAGAGTAGTACTCCCGAGCTCCATTGTCGGCCCAATCACACTGAATAACGGTAAATTAGGGGCATGCAGAACCCGTGAAGATTCGGATTAGAATTGGCCTTCATAGTTGTAAGAGGCGACTAAGTGAGTTGTCAGGCTTGCTGACTTGGTTGACCATATTATCCCAATAGATTGATGCTGATGCTGCTGAACACTGGATTGTCTGATCTAGACTCGATTATTTACAGTCAGCAGCCATATAGATGGAATATTGCTGAGTCGTAAGAGACAACAACGGGATCGGGTGGTCAGGGTAGCTGATTTGGTTTATACCTGTCATCGTATGCCATTAACGTAGATTCGATACTTATAATGTTGATCACTGGAGTGTCTGGTCCGGATTCGATTCTTTACAGACCGCCGCAATATATCTGGAATATTGCTGAGTGCCGCGTTACAACCAACCAAACAAACAGGTGGTATTATTTCACGTTAATGTGAATCGATCTTGAATGCCAAGACGCTCTTTATAGTACATCTATCTTTTAGAATCTATACAGCTCAATCGTCCAATATCAAATACTTAATACGCTTTTCGTCATATAGCTGCCGCTCTTCAATCTTTAAAATTACGATGATAATTTAAACTCGAATGTACCTGATTATGAATACGAAATCTCACCTCCAAAATACGTTTAATTTTCCTGCTGGGTTCCGGAAGAAGGTGAGCTCCCGAGGATTTTTCCTTCCTCGCACGTGCAAGACGTGCCCGTTTCCTGACACCTGCACTCGATACCAACGACTGCGTTTGACGAATCGGGGGCAGGTGCACGTGCATCACCGAGGAAGGCATTCCTTGGCATCAGAATACGGCAGTTCTGTTTGATCAGACTCTTATAGTTTCCGATTATCGCAACAACGTATTAACGGCTGCCAATGCAGACTTTCTTTTCAAGTCTGAGTGGTACGGCGTGATCACAAGTTTATAAAGTAAGATTAACCCTGCAATCAATCAACGGGCCTCTCTTCTTCAACCTTGCCAGGTGCACACTTTGCCCATTACTCTGCTTACTGTGAGGATTACATTCATTGATGTCTTTGTTATGTTTGAATATTATTGGATAGTATCCACGAATAGAAATCTCAATCCATGCTTGAAACACGCATCGATAGTTCTTCACCTCGGTCTTTGCTGAGATATGAGTGTCACATTGTTCAATTCAGCAATGACTCCATGAAACCTTTACCCACTAATCCGTCAGTCAATAAACCTCTACATGTCTTGAGCTTTCTAAACGCAACACACAATCATTCAAAATCAGCATGTGGATCCAAATGATAGAGACCTCGTTGTCTATGCCAGAGAATACATTAAGTTGCTTCCATCGACGCCATTACTTCAGATCAAAGATAGCCAGTTTGGAAGATGGTTGGAAACCACACTGACGTCCGGTAAATGTTATCCGCCTTCTGGAGTTTGACAAACAATTTCACTTACACCACTTAGACGAATCCCGAGAGCACCATTCACAAACACAACCCTTACCTTTACACCTTCTTATCGCATACCTTCATAATGCGGGACACACTTGATCACAAACATCAAAACAGCATTCATATTCAGTATGTATTAATGGACACATGATAAACTAACAAACGCTCCTCCAAAGATTTCACCAATGTCAAAGCGGAATCCACAAGTCCTTGATAGTTCTTTGAATTGAATTCGTAACTACGAGCAGCTACCCTGTAAGGTATTCTAACAACTATTATGGAAGTAATGTCCTTAGCGACTGACGAAACTGTCCTCTTCTAGTCATACAACAATGCTAAATTGTGTGCAAGCTGTCCTTGACTAGCCCTGACTCGCGCTCACCAGTCACGTTAATTCTGGACTGATCCCTAGTTGAAATCCATGAAGCCAATAGCTTATAGGGTGGATTTTGCAAAAGACAGAAATATCTACATACCTACGAGGAAAGGTGTGGAATATCTTATCGATGCATAACATAATGTTGGTTTTAGTGACGATAGCTCGCTCGGTCACTGCTTATTTAACTTACTTATGTACAGCCAACTGGATAAAGGGCGAATATTTGACTGTGTACTCACTAAAAGGTGAGGGTTCCCTGCGAAATGGACATTTGATACTATGACACGAAAAGTGTGTTAGATAGTCGGTATACAGTAAAACGATAGGGGATAGAGACTCTCCCTGTTGAACTACCGTTTGCCTTTTCAAGAGCTCGTCATAAATTACTCTCACTCACGACAACAAGGAGGAGTAGGCGGACGACCAGTAATGGATTTGACCCATATTTTATACAAGATAAATAAAACAAGCTTAAAGGTCTCTATAATAGAGGAAAACACTCGAAACTGCACCCGTGAAACTGAATCGTCTCTGTTGGAGCTACCTGATATATATCACATTTTGCCAAAAGAGTTTGTGTTTGTGTCAAGAGGTTAAACAGACAGCTGTTGTATAATCTGAGCTGATAAAGAATGGTTTGAGCACTGTAATTCAACAGTATGTTTCCCGAGATAGAGTATTGGTAGTAAGTACATGCATGTTAACTGCCACGTCAAATACTTCTACCAGTACAACTACCACTATATAATGATGCTACACACAATAGCACCTTTACCAATAATTACACCTCCAAAGCATGGAAAAAACACGTATTTTGAGTAAAACTAAATATTCTCGCCCATGGGCCAAAATGGTTTTTTTTAATATCGCTCTAAAATAGCCGAATTAGGTCAAAATGAGTTGAATTTCTGTCATGATACTTATAAACATACATCATTCATTTACAAACTCCAAAACATGGAAAACATGTTTTTGAGTAAAAGTAAATATTCTCGCTGGACGAGATTCTTTAATCGCTCTAAATTAGCCGAATCAAGTCAAAATGAGTTGAATTTCTGTCATGATACATATTAATATACACTCATTCATTTACAAACTCCAAAACATGGTAAAACATGTATTTTGAGTAAAAGTAAATACTCTTGCCCATGGTCAAGATTTTTTAATATCGCTCTAAATTAGCCGAATTAAGTCAAAATGAGTTGAAATTTGTGTCGTGATGCTATTCATTTACAACCTCCAAAACATGAATTCTGAGCGAAACTAAACATTCTCTCGAACGAGTTTAAATTTTGAGTTTTCGAAAAAAATGATTTTCATCCTCAGCGTATGTATATTCATAACAACTACATGTTTAATTTGGTCGAATCCCTTGTCAGAAAGTGCCCACAGTGCGGAGAGTTTCTGGACTTTTGTGAGTCCAGAATTAAATTGTGACGTGTTATATGGAATTTGCGTTATTACTTAGCTTTATTATGCTTTACAAAGCTCCCACGCTGTATACTTTGAGTATACATATTGAGTATATATATGTATACGTATGTGACGTCATAGTGGCGACATAAGTTATCAGTCTTTTGGGGGCGGTGGGGTAGTCTAGTGGTTAAAGCGTTGGCTCGTCACGCCGAAGACCCGGGTTCAGTCAGTCAGTATCAGTCTTTTGTAATGGCACGAACGATTTATTTATTTATTTATCTATCTATCTGTTATTGATTTATATATTTTATTTATCCATCTATCTTTCTATTTATTTATTTATTTATTTATTTATTTATTTATTTATTTATTTGTTTGTTTGTTTGTTTGTTTGTTTGTTTGTTTGTTTGTTTGTTTGTTTATGTATTTATTCAAACCACCCACTCACTCACTAACCCACCCACCCACTCACTCACCTGGTGAGGGCAGGTCACGAAATCCAGTGTATAAACAGGTACTTGACGTGTCACCTGTCAGCGCCACAAATCACACGACATGGTGATTGCACGAAGCTGTCTATATCTTGTCTCAGAAACAAATCAAATTGTTTGAACAAATCTTCAAATTTGTCATATCTCGCAGTGCAACTACATAAACCTTATCTTGAACTATATCTGATTCGGGCTACAATTGTTCGGTAAATATCAAGCAGTTACTGTCGCACTCAAGGAGTCGGTTATATGTTTATTGCCTGTCGTGAAGATTATAGCCGATATACAAACATCCCCGATACAGTCCCACGTCGACGTAGAGACTTTAAGAAAGTTTAAGTGTCGTGCCCACGCCGGAAAAAATTGGAGAAAGCATGAGATAATTCATTTAAAGAGACTTTAAGAAAGTTGAAGACGACGTCAGAAATACTGCAGAATACATCGTAAAAATAATATTTTTCGACTAATATTGTGTTATGTCGAACTTACGGTTAGCTGGAATTTGACGACGTGAAAAGCGTTATCCCACAAACTCCGCCACTCATAAGAATTAGTACTTTGACCTATTTCACCGTTGATGGTGTGGTCTGATATTGCTTTGATAAGTGTTCTTTGATTCTGATATTTATGGGCCGGGGGGTTTCACCACACATCATCTAGCACTAAATCAGACCGAAAATCAGCAATATCAGACCACATCATCAACTGTCCCAATCACAACATAATTTGGGACAATGTAGAGATATTATAGAAAAACCACCTAAGAATTCTTAACTTTGATCGTAGCCAATGTGTTAAGAATGGGCTTAAGAAGTTCGTAGGGCTACGAACGTTTCGAGAATAGCTAGCCAGGATTTTACCAAAAGAAAACTTGTAGTAGCAGTTCAAATCCGGATCGGAGGCACAATCCCTCAATCAACAGAGATCAGGGATATCTCATCCCATCTGCATACAATAAACTGATAAAAACAACAGATTAGAACACTCCAGCTATCATTGCTAATTAATCTCATCAGCCATGTATATTTTGTTTCTGCCTCTAGGACCATTGGCTTTCTCCTATTGTCAGTACATTATTACCACCGTGCCTTGTTGTTGTTGTTAATTCCCTTGATTCATACCTACATGTTGTTATTACTTAATCCCTGTTGATGTATATAAGTCTGTTCTGTGCTGTAGTACTTCACTATTGCTTGACAACGGTATAAGAAGTGGAACACTTTTTATGGATAGACAACTTCTTTGTTGCAGTAGTAGTTGCGACGTTTCACTTCATCATACCAGCTTCTAAATGCCACTTAAGGAAGTTAACGGTATAAGAATCCATACCGAAACGTCGCATCATATATAATAAAGAAGCTGTTATCCATAAAGTATTTTACTGTCTTATTACTCACCAACTTCTAAAATGACAACCAAACAGATCGTTATTTCCAAGTCCAACGTCTGAAACAGTACATAATGGACATTCATGAACGTAACATTGACAAGTACACTCTCCGTATTTTAAGCGATTTTTAAAAACATAATGAAGCATATGAAGGTGTTGTGGTTTCCATGGCAATCTGCAAATCAAGGAGTTAGAACTTGGTAAACCAGTGGTTGAAGGATCAATGATCTCCGCTATTTAGCATTGGTTACGGTTAACCAATGCTTGAGTGCTAATTAAAGAGCAGCAAGAGCACCTTTGTCTGTCTACCAGACCCAAGACAATGCATTAAAAAGTATAGCCTAGCTCAAGTATAGATTGATCTCACAAGTCTAGGTTGCCTCAGTATAGCCTAGAGTCTAGATTGATCTAGCAAGTCTAGGTTGCCTCACTATAGCCTAGAGTCTAGATTGATCTCACAAGTCTAGGTTGCCTCAGTATAGCCTAGAGTCTAGATTGATCTCACAAGTCTAGGTTGCCTCAGTATAGCCTAGAGTCTAGATTGATCTCACAAGTCTAGGTTGCCTCAGTATAGCCTAGAGTCTAGATTGATCTCACAAGTCTAGGTTGCCTCAGTATAGCCTAGAGTCTAGATTGATCTCACAAGTCTAGGTTGCCTCAGTATAGCCTAGGAGTCTAGATTGATCTCACAAGTCTAGAGTTGCCTCCTCAGTATAGCCTAGAGTCTAGATT